GAAAAGTCGGATTGTGTCATTCTTCTTCTGAAAACACTCATAGCTCACCATTTCACTAAGAGTAAAAGCCATAGTCCTTAGTTACTGACAGGCCTTAGCAGCTCTGCATTGTACCTCTCTGACTTTGTTTCTGCTACTCTTCTTGCTTGTTCACTCCTCTCCAGTGCCAGCCATATTCTCACCTTAGGGCCCCCTGCCTGGAGTGCTCTTCCTCCAGATAGCCCTGGACTCATTCTCTCACCTAATTCAAGTCTTAATTTGTCTGTTACCTTCTCAGTAAGACTTCCCTGATCACCCTATTTAATTGCAATGGTATTCCCTCTATGTCTTTACTGTTATTTTATCCCTTTTCTCTGTTCTGTTTCTTTTCGCCATAGCACATACCCCTTCTAACATACTATAGAATTTACTTATTTATTATGATTGTATTTTATTTACTGTCTTCCTTTATTAGAATGTAAATCTGTAAGAACAGGACCTTTGTTCATTTTGTTCGGTTCCTAGAACAATGCCTGGAGAATAGTAGGTGCATAAGTATTTGAATATTGAATGAATCTTTAATTCTTTGCCTGGGGATAAATTTCTAAATGTATAATTGTAGAGTCAACAGATATATTCACTTTAAAGACTTTCAGTACAGTTTGTTTAATTACCTTCCAGATTAGTTGTGTCAGTTTTTATTCCTACCATCATTATGTGGGTAAGCAGAGAACCTCAATGCTTAAATTCTTGTTTGATTTCTGTGAGTTTACAGTATGTTCCTGCATCTTTCCTTACTTCTGTTTCCCAGCTTCTGGTTCTTCTTGACTGTGTGTTGGATATTTCTTCAAGTCATGCTGATATTTTCTTTTTACGTTTTTCTCTTAGTAAGCTGATCATAGCCTTAACTATTGTACCTATGTCAATGAAGCAAAAATCTTTGTCTCTGGCTGTCTTTAGTCTCTCAGTTATGCTTAGTATCTGCTTCATCTCCCTATGGAATACCTCTCTACTCATTGAACTTGGTGTGGTGGTAGGGCATTATATCTAAAACTGAATTTTTCTTTCCTCCCCCTGAATTTTCCCTTTATGGGAAATATGACCATTTATCCAGTCTTTTAGAGGCAGAAACTCAAACACATTTTGGATTTCTTTTTCCTCTTCTTTTTTATCTAATCAGATACTAATTTTTATTCATTTCTTCCTTCTAAATTTCTCTTAAGTCTCCTTTCCTCCCATTTCCTGCAGTGTTTCTTCTTCTTTTTCATTTTTTTTTGAAGAGACAGGGTCTTACTCTATTGCCCAGGCTGAAGCACAGTGGC